CTGGGCGCTCCTCATCAAAAACAGACGAACGACCACGTTTGAATTCGTTGAACCAATATCTGACGGTTGTCATAGATGATGAAGGGTTCCCATAGAACGGCATCCAACTTCGTTTTTATTTCTTCGCACGTTTTTCCATCCAAAAATAAAAAGCGAATCACGCGGATCGATATTGTTCTTTTTCCATTGTATCGAAAAACATCAAACACTCTCACTACGAATTGCTGTCAAATCAAGACTATATGAATCACTCTGAAATTTTGTATGGCGTCATTTGAAAGATGGTAGTACACGATAGTAATGCCAACTTGCATCAGCAACGTCACCTGTCTTCAAACACGGGTACTTATTGATTTGCTCTCGTATATACGTTTTGATTATATTGAATCTTCATCAGTTTGAAAAACTTGCTAATAAAATAAATTAATTGAGAGGAAATTGCGTTACGTCGTTATTATACTGAACATCCTTTTAGGATTGTAGTTTCTTCAATTAACACCGCTTTATATCCTGTGGCTAAGTTCTTCCAGAGAATCATTTCCGACAGTCTTTCTCATGCAAAAGGTCATGTTAATAATAGCTTCGATCTTTACAATACACTTTCTGGCTTAACGATTGCAGACTCTGATGTACCTGTCTCTCTTGACGTCATATCTCATATTTTACTAATATCTCTCCAGACCTATAACACAATTATTAATATTATAACAAGATAGGACTTTATCAAAACATCAACAAAACTCAAACAAACTAAATATAGATATATTCATATCCGTAATTAAATTTGTTTTATCGTTTACGTTCTTTACATTCAACCATGTTATTTATTAAACGATCGTTATTCCTTATTCCTAATTCCTATTCCTTCTATTATGTCTGCACTCTTATCCTTGTAATAATTCATATCAAAGAAGAATGGAATCAATTGCAATAACAACACCGAATTGCTTAACGGTTCTTACTTTAGAATCCTCGAGGAACTTTCAAACAGATAGTTGTAATTTAATTACCCACTGAACATACTTTCTTACATTGTTTGAATTTTATATTTAATAATCTACAAACACGCTTCTCGCACAATCATCCGAGACTTATTAACAATGTGAGAAAACTAGATACTTTCTTATTTCAATATTCGACGCCTTCATATAAAAAATTTTCTGTCAGTTTTTAATTTGATGAGTTCATTTTATTTTAATTGTTTATTTCTTTTTTACAATCCTTTATTAGATATACATATATTTATTATATTACATTTTAGACTTGATTTTTTTTAACATTCTCTTTCTGGGCTTTTCTGTACTTAACATGATTCTCATTACGGAAACATGAATTGTTATTATCAAATGTTTACATCTTAACGTTTGTTTTCTCACATTTTTATTGGTTGATGTAGGTAACTACACACTGTTAAATCTATAGTGTCAAATTTAACTTAACGTGAGTCGCCACTGTTCTTACTCAATCGTATCGTTATTTTATACTAAAACAATGGTTATATTTGACACTATACAGTGTCAATTTGATACTATATAGTGTCAAATTGATACGATATAGTGTCAAATTAATTATTGTTTTAGTAAAAAATAATGATATATTTAATAGGAGCAGTGGCGACTTACGTTAGGTTAAATTTGACACTATAAATTTGACAGTGTATTCTCCTATTAGACAATAAATTTTAATTAATTATTCTAACATCTTTTTCGCTTATCTTTTGGCTGTTTTAATTTTATTAGAATATGGATCAAATAAATTGATATGAAAATTTGCTCGAAGGAAGTCAAACATTAGTTAAGATAAAGTTGGAGTGGAAAATTCAAAATCTTAATTTCAGAATATACAATAGCTGATCATGTCGAAAGAAAGTTGTCCAATCTCAGCAGTATTACACATTGTAACTTTCCAATTTGAAATTAGTCGAGAAGTTACTCCCAAGCGTGATGTCGTAGTAATTTGTCTATCATGAGAAGCAAATCGAGCACAACTGAGATTTGATTTTTCTTTGGAGACAGTCCATGCGATCACAGTATACTAAGAACATCTAGACACCGAAATGGATATATGCCAACTCTAATTGGCATGAATTACGTTCGCCAACTTGAACTAGTCCCATTCTCAGATAACGTGAACTTACTCCGTGCCATTCTGGAGTACTTATGTCCATATGGCGATTAATAATGTAATGATAGTTTACATAGTCTGTTCGAATTTATGAAGCAAAATTTATGTCATCCTGATGACTCGCCTAATTTAGCGAAATTATTCAGAAACGAATAAAGTGCTGTTATGGTTTTAAAGAATTTGAACTGTTCTATATAAAACACACTAGAAAAAAGTCTTGTTGCGTTACTTGAAATTTTGATAAATTCAATCAAAAAAGTATAAATTAAGACATTTTTATACAGTAAAAAAATTTGTGTATTTGTGTTGGAAACGGTCCACTCACATTTGTGTTAACAGTTTGTGATAAATTTTTTAACATATTCGAGTGTTAATTTAACATAATGTGATTATGTTATTTAAATATTTTTTGTGAAATTGATATTCAATGTTTCTTAATGTCAAATTGACACAATTTATTAATTAAAATTTTCTGGTCATAAATATGTAATTGTCATGTAAAATTACATGCATTTTTTTCAGTGTATGATCAGAATTCGATTTGTGTTTCTTTGTATTTGTTAATATACAAAATATTTTTTTCAGTGTATAAACGATAAATTTAATCTAAAATTTGTAGTTATTATTTTAGACATTGATAAACAAGAATCGTAACTTATTACTTTAAAATTAAAGTTCAAGCGTCATCAATCATGCTGAGTAGATACTTTTATCTCAATTTGTTTTCGCGCGTTTTTTTAATATGACGTGATTCACTAAAAAATTGAATGATGGCCGTAGGTCGACATAGTAAGATAAATTCTTTAACACGGTTAAAGTTAAAAGAATTATTGGTTGCGATGTGCGTAAATCCTAGAGGGTGGAAATATTACAGGATCTGACTACAGTCAGGGTGTGCGAAACCCTCGTTTTCGGAGGTCTTAATAAATTGCACTTATTTATTTTAACCTCAGCACCCAACTAACGGGTATGGCGCTTAAAACTCATTTGGCTCGGCTCTGTTCATTCGCTAGTAATTTTGCATTCTTAAGCTATTTGTTAAAAAGTCGAATTTCACGTCTAGTTTAGAACTCAACTATTTTCCATTATTATATGAGCATATTTTGATTATTTTATTGTTATATAAACAAGCATATTCTGTTTTGTATTTAACTAATTATTATTACACGTTTATTAATAATCGCATTTATTAATAATCATAGCATAACTCAAAAAACAAAGTTTTCAAGATAAGTTTGAATGCTTTGAATTATTGCATGAAAATTTTGTAATATTAATTTTAAAATGCAATTTTGGTGTAACAATAATTATAGAGAAATAAAACTACGTAAATAAAAAATAACAATTTTTTTGAGTTATGTCTTTGTATTATGAGCGATATATATGCACATATCTGTTATAATAACATCCATATATCGCTTTTTTCTTCAAAAATAACACAACTCAAAAATAATTTTTTATAAAGTTAAGTTGATTTATTTTTGATGATTGATGGGATAATGCTTACTTAACCCATTTTTGGTAATAACTAAGAAGTCACGTCTTTTTAGTTGCGTTATTTTTAAAGTAAGAAAGTGATATATTCAATAAATAATGATATTCGTGAGACTCTATCGAATTCGATGGAAGTATTTATTTTACTAAATTGCACGCTGCATTTTTTATATCGTAACTACAGAAAGAGATCGAGACGAATTTCCAGAAATGCATCAACGTAATACCTTGGTAGCTCGTATCTCCAAAATCGCCTTGACCTACCTAACTGTAATAATAACGAAATTGAAGAGTTTTCTTCAATTTCGAAAAATAACATCGCAAGGGAACATCGTTAAAAAAGTCTCGCTATCGATACTCGTGGGTATAGACATCGTATCGCTTTTATTGCACATATCGACCGCTCATCAATTAAACGCGCTATTGAATATTCTTGTGCCTCCGATTCGCAACTTTTTAATGAAGCCCATAATCATGACGGGCGCATATCGTGTGCTGTCCGATAACTTGTGGGTAGAGAAGCTACCCAAATGAGGATAAACCTTGAAATATAGCCCAATCGTTTAGGATTGTATCTCGCGCTATTATCCCGTTTTCTCATCGGGAATAGCCATAACTTCAAATATCTGCGGCCTGCCTGCATTTCTATGTGATTTACAATGCAATCTTTACAGGTGCGTTCTAGTTTCTCGTAAACGATTATTATCACTATAATATTTATGTGATTATTTTCTTTCGTTTTTAATGTTCAAACTAGTACGAATATAATTATATATTATATTATTACTACTTAAAACATTATTATACATATTAAAATGTTTATTACGGCTTTGATCATAAGTATAGAGCACCCATAATCTTATTACATTTTTTTGGAAAAGGCAGTAATAAAACCTAAAAGAAAATTAACAAAGTATTAAAGTTGTTTTATAAAAATAAATATTTTTATATAAAATTGTATAAATTTATTTTTCATTAAATTTAGAACGTTTGCGTCAATTTGTGAGGGTGCTTTGTACTTTTGATCAAGACTGTATCATAATATTCTAAACAGTGATAATAATATATAGATATGTGTTTTTGTATCAGTTCGAATAATAAAGTTAATAACAAGTAATTTCAAGAATGAAATATACTACTTGTTTGAAAATATAATAATTAATAATAATTATTGCAAGCTGTTCTTAGTAGAATTTTACAATATTATAATTAAACAGCATACTTAATAGTTTAACGCAATTTATTGAGATTAATTTTTTTACATTACACATAATAAATTTATTGTTTTATTGTTAACAGTTAATTTCCGGAGTACTTTTGAATCAATTTACTAGTTGAAGTTGATCTTTTATGTCTTTCTCCTATTAACTGTAGCGGTAATTTAAATCTCATTATTTGCCACAGCTTTCGTGAAAATTCTCACTTTATAATAAAACGCAAAAACTTTTATTCTTTCGCCCATTCTTCGCACTTGCATTATCCTCGCATGGACTTATTTATTTCTCATTGTTGTGTCATAAAAGAACAAAATCAGAAGTTAGAAAGCATTCTCTTTTCTGAATTGCAGTAAGCATTAATTTGTTGCACTCAATACAATCGGGAACCATCGCGTTTTGATCCATCAAGCAAATTATGGTAATTAAAATTTAACTACATTATATAAATTGATAGTTAGTTTTCTTTAAATGAAAGAATGTATGGAGTGAATAAGAGACGTAACAAATTCCATTGCATTTTTTAAACTATAAGAGATAACTCACTCTTTGAAAAAAGATTAATTCGCTCTATTAGTTATAACAAAATTGCAAAACGTTAATTATATTAACATACGCGATGGCATTATTGATAACCACGTAATCAATAATTCCATATTACTATACTCTTCCCATTCATGACGCAAACAATACGATAGGTAATGTTTCACAATATTGACCGGCAATTCATATATGGTAAACACTGCTCAATAACTGGCGGAACCATTATTTTAATTATATAATTAGTACAGGTCTCTATAATGCTGTAGTGCGTTTAATAATGATATCAATAAATAAATAGCTATCTGTGCGTAATGAAAGCATTGCGACAAAGTGTTAATCGTGATAAAGAACATTATTAATTAAACGTAAAAGTGAACGTTATTATTGCGGAAAAGTTCTGTAACACGGCATTCAGATTATTTAGCAACCATGTCGCAAATACAGAGCATACGATTCAAACTATTAGGAAGTTATTCACTTAAAATATTTCACTCTCATTTTAACGGTAGCGACGTGAAACTGCTTGAACGAAATTAACGAACCAAAGTTTTCGAAATCTGTGTTGTAAAAGCAGCAGTGCCGTGGCATTCATATTTTATCACGAAAGAACACGTTTCGTATAACTTTAAGATTGGAATATGGTCTACTACGAGGGAATACTTCCTCGTTAGTGAAGTTCTCCTGATCATAAGAATTCATCATGTAACATAGTGATGCATATGTATCGTTTATACAAGTGTCCTATGTAAATTAATGGGAAATTGAAGAGAATTGTGCAAATATAAAGTAACTGGGTACGCCTGTGCGTATTATGTACATAGGTCGTCTGAAAAGTTTTGAGCCTCAACATGAAGATGGCATTACTCGTCAAAACAATTTTGGTACTATAATCGTACATACTTTGAAAGATACCTGCGAAAATTGTAACTACTTCCGGCGCTTAGTTGTTGTTTGACAGTCATTTGTGCCAGTCAATGTCAATGTTTTTGTAAAAATGGAAAAAATCGAATATCAGCAGTCGCTATGATAAAAATTCACGAATTGCGGTTTAAATTGATTGACCACCCACCGCATTCACCAGATCTGACCCCCAACGACTTTTCCCTGTTTCCTAGGCTCAAAGTTAGGCTCGGAGGATAGAGATTGGGTGCATTCAGAAGCGACGACCGCTCAGTGACCACTGCCATTGAGCGGTCGTGGTACTGAATGCACCCATTTTTATCAAACAAACACTGACATCGACTGGCACAAATGACTGTCAAACAACAGCTGAGCATCCAAAATGGCTACAATTTTCACAGATATCTTTCAAAATATGTACGATTGTAGTACCAGAATGGGTTTTGAAGAGTAATGCCATTTTCATGTTGAAGCTCAAAATTTTTCAAACGACCATCATATGTGTATAAGCTTTGTCGTATGATTAAAGTAAAAATTTAGTTTTATTTTAATGGAAAAGAGTCATGCGTATCTTTATATAAGAACATAAAACAACAAAGATATGTAAGATGGAGTTAAGTGCGAAGAAATATTGTCTTATAAAATAACGAACTTTGTGACTTCTTAACAAAAAGTTATTTGTTAAAATTATGCAAATTATATATTAACAATTTTTATCGTATATTGTTTGCTATTTGTAAATTAATCTGAACTGGTGATCCGTTTAGCCTCTCAATTTCAAGGCGAATTAAATAATTTATTGTTCTTAATTTTTTGTTGTGCAGTAAAAAATATTACATTTATGTAGTATTTTAGTTATTATGTAGTATTATATAAAACCCAAGCCAAAGTTGTCAAAATTAAGAACTTATAATAATAAGACTTAGTAACAAAATTTGCTTTTGATTACATTTTGTATCAATGAACAATTAGAAACTGATTCGATTCGCCTCGGTCTACCTTACACTAAGAGAAAAAATTATTACAATTTAACTATAATTTATAGTTATTTTTTATGACAACTGTACAATTTTTGATAGAACTATAAATATAATTATTATTACTAATAATATTATAGCAGTAATAATTCCAAAATGGAGTTCCCAATCGTAACTATTTTACTATGTAATACTTATATATACTAAGGAAGAAGCCTGATAGTATCAAATGTATTTTGTTTAGTATATTGGTGTAATATTAAATATTACTACATATATTTAATAAGTATTACTAAATATATGTAGTAACTTTAACCGTTTGGTAATAATTATTAAATATTTGGGAAAGTAAAATTTTTTGTTCTATTAATCGAATGTTTGATCAAAATTATTTTATCAAAGCATTTAATAATGTCGTTTAGGTTTGATTATTATTACCAAATTTTTTTTTAATGTACTTACAAATATCAAACACTTTTCTCTCAGTTTAAATAAATACAGTTTAAATACGTAAAATCTGTGCTATACGATATGTGAAACTGTATTGAATAATCTGATATGATATTTGAAAAAAAAATATTTCCGCAACTTTATCCAGATAGGAATTTAGCAAAAATCGTTCGAAACTACCATTAACCCAATATCGAGGTTAAAGTTTAATACGGATACGACGATTGCGTGAGTGTTATTGAATCCTATCGTGCTAAAATTGATTTATGGCCGTATTAGAAAATTGCCTTATCGATCTAACTGCTCCGCACGAAATATCAGACGATGAGGGGAAAAAAGAGGCGGTCGAACAATTTTTGTAATCTACCACAAAGTAATCTATCGCAATTGGAGAGTAAAAAAGAATATGTTCCATGCGCAATTTAAGCGAGAATCTGCGCTTTGGTGAGCATTTCAAGCAAGATTAAAACACCCGAGAGATTTAAATTTAGATTAATTTCTCCTCAAATTAGGAGATCCAAATCGCAGGGAATGAGATTTTGAGCGCTTTTTAGCTTCCCCGCACAGATTATGCGTATAATGAAAATTATGTTATTAACATTCATTCAACGTTGAGCTTTCGCTTTTGAGTTCCACTAATGAAATTTTTTCATCGTCGCTAGCCGGTCACTGCAGAATGGCGAAATTAATAAATAAAGAGTCTTGTTGAATTGCGAAGTTATAAGAGCATGTTTATTTTAATTCTAATGGAAACACTATTTTTACATATATATGTTATAAAATCTATATTGTTTATTACACGTTAATTTATTACACAATTAACTAATCAATATCGACAAGAGATATAAAAAATGTCGGTCATAACGTTGTTTCTCGAATAGAATTTCGTGCTACGTTGGCAACATTTTGCGTGTAAAACTTAAAGGTTAATAAAGGTCTATTAATTCTACCGCCAAAGGCGATAACCCGGCGAAGTTCATACCGGCAATTAAATGCGCAAATACCGAAGAACCTATGTAGAGAAACCCGTTCACGGATGTTATCGATTCCGCCGATGCCGCGGTCTCCTGCAGTGTAAGCGAAACCGCACCATCTCCGTTAGAGACATATCCCGTAGGTAACGATCAAGCCGCATGTCGAAGAGATGCTAAACCGGTAGTGAGTATAGGTCAATATTTGCCAGTCCTTGTGCTAATAATTTAGATAGCTCGCCTGCTACATATCGAAGGCGTTTCTGTAATGATATACGAGTCGATTATTTGCTATCAGTAACGCTCCAACGGAATAATACTTGAAATCATTACATTCTATATTTGATCTACATAATGAGGGATTTTCCTCTGGTACTCATAAAAGTTAAGGGTAACTACTCTGGACATAAAAGCTTATATGCGTTGCAGTATCTTGGAATTTACTTTAAACGGAACATTTACTGTAAAAACATTTTACAAGAAAGGAGGATAGCGATGAATTTGCAAAAGAAATTGTCTATTTCTTTCTTTCTCTCTCTTTCAAATTATTATTTTTTTATACTAAACTCGATCTGTCGCTCATTGTTTTATACAAGAAAGATAGTGGAAAATGTTAAGATCGATTTTTATATACAGAGCTCCGGCGATATCATTTCTAACCTTGCGCGAATATCTCATCTAAGTGGAACATCATGCTATGCCAGCCATTCGCGAGTTTTCTTCATAACATCTCAAGATCTCTGACAGGTCGTTCAGCCGCTAAGTTTATATGAATGGCCAAGGGATTCGCCCTACAACGCGCTATCGTCACTGATTAAATAATTCAGCATAACGTAACCTACTTCGTAGAATTTTATATAAATCCAGGTGAAAAAAATTGTCGTAACGTAATTTTTCTGTTATAAAATATGTCATCAGAGTTACCTTTGAAATCTTAAGTAAGATATTTTTCATTTTACGAATTATGACGTTTTTTCGCTATAATAGATCTTCGTAATTTTGTAATAAAGGTAAAAGAAGAAGAATTGCTACCCGTATTAATTAATCATGTTTGTATAGTTATGCTGCAGAGAATTAAATTATTTTGTATAAAAATGGCGACTATGATTTCAAATTACACGATGTAATGGTGTGATAACGGAAACGGTCTCACCGCATGTATCCAATTTCTACCTTCATCTGTGGCGTACTATGTCATGTCTAACTTACGATGCAAAATACAACCGGACAGTGGATTAGTATTCATGTCCTGTACTTGTTCAGTTAATAAATTCAATTCGCGGAAACTTTTCCACACGCTATCTTCTTTTCGCTTCAGTCGTTTTCATTTCACACGTAAAATATCGTTACTTTTATCTCTCGTGTTTTAATAAATTCCCTGTAATTATCTATCACTTTTTGATTCAATCATTGTAATTACAATTATAGAATAATTTTATCTTCTTTCGATATTAGACCGCTTTCATTAGATCATTACTTATCTATTATTAGTAGCATTTTCAAGTACTTGAAAGAAAGAGAGCAATCAACTGTTTATTATGTAAAATGCTCTACGAGGAATACAGGGCGCATTAAATAATTATGTATTTATCTTTTCATTTCCTGCTCCTATTTCGCGATACTTTCTCCGTTTTCAACGAGTTCCTGAGAGACCTACCTTCTCTGGACATTTTACTCGACGTCGGTAGATTAAATTCATTAACCGGCAAATGAGGGCTGAAGACGTCTCAAAATTCGAGCTGAATGTTAATAATTGCGAGTCATTATGGGACGCTCTGGAGCTGTTATACGATACTCAGAAACCGATGGAGTTTAGCGTAGGTCACCTAGTTCCTCGGTTCTCGTGTAGTTGTATTAAATTTCATTGGTGCTCACATTATTACTTCCTTTCTCTGTTTCATCCGTATTAATATCGAATTATTATATCGTAATCTTTCATACGTGTACCTTTGCAGTAGAAACAACGTTATTCTCGCGGAATTACCATGTCATATTCTTATTGACGAATTTTTTAATTAAACAGGAACTCGATTTTTTTAACGGTAATTAGTTTATAAATTAGAGATGAACAGAGTAAAAAATCGTATGTGTTTTATTTAATTTCAAGTAAACTTTCAAACTTACGATTTGAAGATTAGCTAAATATTTAATTTCGTGAAAATTTAAAGATTCAGACAAATCGTGATCTCTCTAAACATTTTTGTTACACGAAAATTTGGAGTGGTCAAGAAATCTATAAATGGAAGGTGGTCGTGGTCGTCTGTGAAGACATACGGCATGTATATATGTAGCTCTTTTATTTATAATAAAGATAAAGTCATGCAAAATAAATGTAAACCGCAGATGCGGCGTCGACGTGGAATACAAGCACGTTGAAAAAGGCAAGTTCCCCGAGTGACAAACGTGTCACGTTGCGGACGGCCGGACGGCTGACTGCATTATTTACACCCACTTACTGCCGGCCGCCGCTTTCGGTCGTTACACATGTTCAGTACGGTTATCTGAAATGATATACGACGGGCCTTTCGCGTACACGAAGCGTATAGATTATTGAGGCGCGTTCTCCCCCTATCTTCACGTATCTCTCTTATCATTGTGGAAAGTAGCATACCGTTCGTCCGATGAAAGTCGGCATTTCAGCCATTCCCTGATACCGGCGGCAGGTTGCATCTAACAACAAGGTATGATTGAAATATACTCACACGGACTACGGATTTTATAAGAAATTACATAGATCGAAATATACTGTCAGTTCATATGCCTCTTCGAGTTTCTTCTCGTAATAAGATGTTATTTAAGTCGAATAACTCTCTCTGATAAAGAACTAGCTTTCTTATGACATAATCTTTTTATAGTGTTATAAAAATAAAAATAAAATATAAATATATATAATAATATATATTTATTATATATGATATATATATAAATGATATATATATATGTGATATATGTATATATGATATATATATATAAATAAAAATTAGAAAATAAAATTTTATTATAACAATTATAACCTAATATCATATAGATTTGATACTATAATGTCAGATGTATTAATTTTTTTTGAAAACGTTTATTAAGAAAAAAGAGAAAGAGAAAAATTACGCTATAAAAATCTTAAGTATTTTATTTTTATTGGAATATTTCAAGAAAAATAATAACTTTCATAATTTAGTAATTAGAAATTGTGTTCAACGCCATTTTATCATGTCTCCATTTGTTACTTTAGTCAGAAACAAACCGCAGTAGAACCGCAAACTACCGCCGTTACAGACAGATGTTAAACAAAGTATAGACTAGAGAAACATTGTTCTAAATGAGAATTACCATACATAAATGCAAGCTCGTTGTTTGTGTGAAAGGTAAACGTTGTCCATCTGACGTGTATGCTGAAGCTCGGGAATCTGTGGTCCACGCGAGTGAGCCTTATCGACATATAGATAAATCGAGAAGCATCAAGTCCTTCAATCACCGTACATATATCCCTGTAGGATTGAAGAAAATATATCTGCAATTACGGAAGAACTAAATATCCTGTCGATTAAGGCTCGCGCCGCCTGACAAATTACAAGCTATTCTACTGATAAAGGGGAACACTGTCGAATAGAGTAGATAAATCTTACCGAACGTACACAGAAACTTTAAAAGAAGAAGCATGATAAACTTTTAAAATATGGAAATTTAAACTAAAAGCTCTTTCAAAGGATTTTGATTTCACTGAGCAGTAGTATATATATATATATATATATGTATATATACATATATATATATATGTCTGCTGCTTTTCGAGAAGGAAACTAATGGCGCGGTCGGATTTGGCCACTGCCACGTCCTTTATCACCACTGTAACGTTCACATATTTTGCTGCGAAAGCATGTTGATAGCTGGCTGCCATAATTTAAGTACACGCCATGAGTCCCATCCTCCGCACTGCGACGGATTACACGGATATACACGACAGAGATTGCAACGACATTCTTGCAGCGCGTATAGTTCGACTTCGCGAAGTCACTTTAATGCCACAGCTCTTGTAGGGATTATTGCGCTTACGAAAGTTACTTCTCGTATACCACTCCTATTTTATTTAACCACTAAATTATTTACCGCAAAAATAAATAGAACATAAGTCACTCGTTTATGCATTGTCAGTATCTCTATTTTTTTTTTTTGAAAAGAAAATGCATTACCAGTAGAAGCGCACCTTGATAAGCTTCTTATATGTAGGATTTTCCATTTTTGTCGGGATTATCGGTCAGATAAAAGTAAAGATATTTGCCGTTGTCGGAAATATCAAAATCCGGCAATATTGTCTTCTTGTCATTGCGTATTAATTCTTAAATAGAAGAAATACGGATTATTTTTATTTTTACTATGTCCCTCATTAACTTTTTGGCTGTTTGATATTTTGCACATGTTTTTTGACATAATTACACTATTACAGTAAATGCAAAAAAGATTCATACAGGAGAAATTTCAATGAAAAATTTTTCTTATCTAAGGAAAATGAACATCAATTAGCAATTTACAATGAGTAGAATCTGTCTTAATAGAAAGATAGAAAATGTCGCTTCGTGAAAATAATCGTGTTCATAATTTTAGAAGCTAAATTTTTCAATTGTACGAATACTTTTTGTGCTCAAATAGTACAATTTTTCATTTTTGTTTGTTACTAAAATAATATTTTAATAAACCTCTTTTTAGACAAAATAATTCTGAGAAATATACAGTTCATTTTATTTTTTGTTAATAAATTGCAAATTAATATTTACTTCCTGAAAGTAGAAATTTCTTCAAAGATATCTGTCCTGTACGAAAGCTTTTTGCATTCACCGTAAATAGGATATATTTGTTAATACTTTGCACAACTATTATAATAATACAAAATATATATAAGCTTATGCATTATTTATGACGCAAACAACAATTTCATAATATAGATTTCAAATTAATATTATGTTTGAAATTTCCGGTAAAATTATTAATAGTGCTGCAGTCATTAATATATTTATTAATATTATAATTTTAAATAATTCCGATCGAAACAGCTTGTACGTTTCTGTGCAATGTAGATAATTTAGATGAACTCCCAATGATTTTGTAAACTGATCGCATTTCGTTGTGAGTATTACGAACAAATCATTAATCTCTGAGCTCGATATCGGTCCAACGTTTCACCGATAAAATCTGGATACTCAATAAACATGTTACACCCACTGTTACACTAATGTAAGTGGAGACCATGATAAATTGGCACTGTCTAGCATTTTCTAGTCTAACGATTGAGAACAATTTGCACAACTACCATTGCCATTTCAATTTGCCATTTCCGCTGACATCGCATTTGCAAGTATTCAAAACAGCGTAAACAGCTACCTATGCAACCACTAGCAAATAATTTTCATCTCCGTATTTATCTTTCTCTAAAAATGGCACGTGGGATAATATGACTGTAACAAAATGTGATTTACAATATGACAGCATAAATTTCAGAAAGATTGCATGCGTAAAGTTGAAAAATAAATTACGCTTTGCGAGGAAATGTAAACATAATAAAATATTTAATGCGGTGTATATTTTATATATATTTTGTGCTTTACTAAAAAAGACATTCGAAAGTGCCCCTACATCCGTTTAACGGCGAAAAGCCGCTCGAGTCGATTATCTCTTCGCTTAGCAATTAGCGTATGCCGTGTCATTAAACAGCCGACGGATAGATTGCGGTCGTAGAAACTTAGTTTTACGTCTACCGGTTAAGTGGTGCTATCAAATATAACGATTGATTGCCGCAAGCTAATAGTAGTCTGATTGATTGCCGTAATGCTATTCGAGTGTTCGTCGCCGCTTTTGATCACATTGACCACTGTCTACGTCACTGTCAACTTCGTATGTACTCCGAAATTGCGTAGTAAAATTAAGGTATTTTCGATCTTCGATATCATTCACGCTGCAATCTAGTTCCCCATTTAGCATTTAACCATAATTGATTAATTAATACATTGACGGTTTAATCGTGCAGTGATTAATTGAATCACTCTTCGAATCTCTGTTTTGCTCAGTGATTTCTATTGTATTAAACGACTTCAAAGATCGTCTTTTTAGTTTTAACCTGTAAAGGTTCAGAAATTTCGCAGTGTAATATTCAGATTATTTTTGTGTTTTCGTTACTTCTTTGTGAAATGGAGATTCTTTTTCTATTTTCGACAGCACATATTGAGTGGAAACGAAAAAAACATGTTAGACTTATTTACATTCCCTCTGCAGAGATATCGAGTTTCATCAAAATCTGTGGGCTGTGGTTTGTAAATATTTCGTACAGAGCATTTCCTATCGTGTTGTATTGAATATCGGCGTGTATTTTCGAGCAACATCCTTTTCAGAAATAGTAGTTTGCATATTATCAACGATGTCAAAATTTCGGACGGCGGTATCTATAGAATTTCTCAGAATCTGACCAACTTCGACACGTGGACGCGTTCAGCAGAAAAAGCAGCTTTGCAACTGTTATACAATTACTACGCTATGATGGGGAATTTTGATTTCGTCATCAATGATCACAGACTCAATTAAATCAATATCATCCATAACAAGTAATAATTACCTAGTCAGACTTGAGGGACTTGAAACGATCTCATTGCGGATGTCTTCGGTGTCGTCGTTTCCGGATTGTGTCACATCTGGTTTTGTAGGTAGAGATGCGGCGGCATTCGATTACGCAATGGGAGATTCAGCTCCCCTTTTCGGCTGTCACTAGCCCGGAGAAGGGCTCGACTACTTTAGATTGATCATTCGATAACGTTATCGGCACTCCGGTGGTATCCCGTCCAAGTACATCCGTCGTTTGAGGATCAATCCAGTTCGACATCGGCATTACCGCTGCAGGCGCCGTCGGTGCAGACATATCGTCTCTTCTGTCGGGGTGAGCGACGGCGCTTTCAGCTTGCCTCATTGAATATTGAGCAGACTGCGAAGCTGCCGCATCTATCGACGATCCACTGTCGTCCGTCCCTCGAATTTTCGCTGTGGTCATCATCTTTCTGTCGGCGATTTCCTCCACGGTCCGTTGCGAAAGAACGAAAATCGTGATAATGGTGATGTGGATTGTAAAGCAACACTGATAAATAATGCAGCGATGCAAGACTGATGAATAAAAAGAACGGCGAAACTAAAACGCCGTGTAACGCGATGTAACACTGTAAGATAAATTATATTATAACGAGGTTGAAAGTAACTCTTCCGTAGAACTTCATTCTATCGTGTGCTAGACATTACGATACCAGTTGCCGCGATATTTGATTTTTATTTATTTTTACGTCATTATTACTCGCATAATTTAATATTACGTTTCTTCAAAGCATTAATCTTTTGCGCTTCCCCTTTTCTGTTAGCAAGCGCGGTAAAGCTAAATATATAATCCGATATCTCTGAGAAAATTTCTGTGTTCTCATAATGAGATTCGCAAGTACGCCGTGGGCAATAAAGAACCGTACTTATCGTGCTTACCAGAATTAACAAAACGTCTCTTCTTACATCACAAGATTAAAAGAAAATATTTTATGAGATAGCTACTTGATCAGCAGTCTCTTTCCAATACTTGTAATAAGACCTGTACAAGATGGTTTGATGCGTACAATTTCTTGAGTGCTCGATTCTTTTCATCTCATCTGCACTTGTAGCAAATCAAACAGTCGCCCTACTTTAAACTGTACTGAAAAAAACTCTGGTAGTAATTATCAAATGTATTTTAGCGTATTCAATTAATATTACCAAGTACTAGTAACTAATTATAATAATTAGAAAAGAGAGAGAGAGTAAGATAATATTTAGAAAAGTAAAAGTAGCATTTAATTGATTTTGATTATTAATCGAACATTTAATTGTAATTATTTTACCAAAGCTTCAATAATTATCATCTAAGACTTGGTTATTATTATTAAATTCTTTTTTAGTGTGTCCGAAATACAAAATTAATAAACTAAGCAAAAAACTTTGTTTATTTTGAACTAGCTATAGTTATCAATACCATTTTATTAGGGATGCACTGGACTTTTTTACTATCCGACTGGATAGCCGGATATCATTAGTATCCGGGAATATATCCGGTTGAAACTTTATATCATTAAAATAAATTATTAAAATGGCTCAATCAGAATAAATCAATAATTAAAAAAAGGGCTACGAGCCAGATACAATATAAAGAATGTTTAATATTAATAGACAGATACAATATAAAGAATGTTTAATATTAATACATTGTGTGTGTGTTTCGATCTCGATCGGGTCATTTTCAATGTAAATAGTTTATCCAAGTATTCGGTCAAATTACAAAAATATATTGGTTATTATCGCATTCCCTATCGCTCGATGTATGCAGTCCATATGTAAACGCATCGTTTGACTGATGTGAAAGTGAACTCATCTTATTATTTCAAAATCTACAATCTTACAAATATATATATGTATATATATAATTTAAAATACTGACAATTGCGTTACAGTTTAAATTAATTATCAAGTATGTATATATATTTATAGTAATTTAGTACCAATTAAGTTACATACATATACTCGTATATACCTTGATTTGTCATAATGATGTGAGTCAGACGTTAAGAGAAACACGCAAAATTAACTAAGTCATAAGTAAATATTATATCGTTAAATTGTTGATTTGTTATTATATAAACGTTTTAGAAATAGGTAAGTATGCATATTCATAATGCCATATTAATATAATATCTTATACATTGTTGCAAAATTACAATTTTTTGTCTAGTCTTTTTTTTTTAGAAGATAGTTTCCCGAAATCCGGTCGGATATCCAGAAAATGTCGGATATCCGACTCGAAGAAATTGCTTCTTGGATACCGGATATCCGATGTTACATTTTGTATGGATATTCAATATCCGGTATCCGGTAATTTTACGATCCGGTGCATCCCTACATTTTACAGATAATAACAAAAATATTAAAAATTAAGTAGTTTTAAATCCTCAAACCATACAAAGAGAGAGAGAGAGAGAGAGAGAGAGAGAGAGAGAGAGAGAGAGAGCAGTTGTAGTTTTTTTAAAGATGTCGCCTTACTCGTTCGGTAGCCTAGCTCATTGGATACAGATAAATCTTGTAAGTAAGGAGAATAACAGGAAGGATGTAAAAGTATCTTTAATATCCTAACACTGATATGTGGCTGTTTTAGCTGTTTGGCACTTATGCAGTTTTAATTTATTTTTTATACTCTACAATTTAACTCATTTCTACACGCGAATGGCTCAAATCTGTATGTAAAATGGGCAAAGTTCTTTGCTTGTAAAAACCTACTGATCTCAGTACGCAAAGTTATACACGATAGAATCAGAAAAGTAGTATATTTTGTAGCTATTGTAATGCGATTTATTTCCGAGATAGTCTTTTCGATTGCTTCGTTTGTCTCAGAAGCGTCACGCGTGAAAACTATCGGTGATGTCGAGGGACCATCGCGCCAT